ATAAGCATGCTTTGCATAAAACAAAATGACTAGCAAATCCCTCAAAGCATGCAAAATCTCAAAGAAAGATGTTTTCTAACTGACACATGCATCATTCCTTTCTTTTGATACCTTAAAGGTGATAAGTAACCTCCTTGATCAGATAAAAAGTGACAATTTGGTAAAACACATTTAATGTTTGCCTTTAGTGCACCAACGAACACTTCACGTTATAAGGAACGAAGATGAAGAGAAACGAAACAAACTTGTAAGAGATGCTCAAGGATCTACATCTGTCATTTGCATAAAACACTTATGTAAAAAAGTTTGAAGATTCGGAAAAAAGATACATACTTACGAAAAGAAAAAACACTCATTGTAAAAATATATTCTTCTATCTGTAAAAAAGTTTTGTACTTAATTGGTTGTATCATATCTTGATAGTAAAACAAAACAACATAATGATTTCCAAACTTTAACTGTGTTATTACTTTGAGCCTAATGAGTCTTGCTTGTAAAAGAATACTTGGTTGTTGAAGCCTGGAGAGACTTTGTGTTCAAAGAGTACTTGGTTAGTTTCTTGAAGACGCAAATCGAAAGAACACTTAGGTCGATCCAGAAATAACTTGTGAAAGAATACTTGTATCTTTGCGAAATATAGTAGAACTTGATCAGATAGATCAAGAAATAAACGCAGTCTCAATGATTAAAACGAATTTGTATGAAAACACTATATGTTTTCTTACTTAACTCTTCATCTACACTCATAAGGTCTTGATACTATTTCACTATTTTGAAAAAGTATTGAGTTTTTATTGACATTATTCAACCCCTTTTTAGTATTTTTCTTTACTCCACAAACACAACAATTTATGTATCATTACACATTTTAATTAAGAGATCTCTTACAACACATGTGAGTAATTTAAGTAGTTTGACCTTACCGACCCAACTTAACAACACGATCTTTTTGTCTTGCTAGATCAACAACAAATTTGGATATCAATCCACAACATAACATGATTTCTTGGATTTTACCAATTAAATTAGGAAAATCCAGTATCTCTTTTAGGAATATAACATCTTGGGTACGAGTCTATTATGGCATTAGTATGCATCAACTAATCCTATATAAAAATAACCTTCTGACTATCCTTCATATATTGCACAACTTTATAGTAATCAATAAGTTATTTTCCCTTCAAATTCATACCTTACTCAAATTTGGTCGCTTCTAAACCAACATGACTCGACTTGGCCCCCATATAGTATTAATTAAGAACTAAGATGAGACTCAATAATCCATTTTAAGAGACAATAATACTCAAGTGGGATTTTTCAACAATTGGACTCTCAAAGCACTACAACACATATCTACACAATGTGATATTTCAACTTTTAAACACAACATCTTTCCTCTAGCCTAAGTTGAAACATAGTTCAACATCATGCATCATGCATGTAACAACACAATATTACACAACAACATACTATTCATGCTCATTCAGTATGTCCATGCCGGATTGATCAAGCTCTCGCTTGGTGTTAAAAGATAGACTACCAATTCACACTCAGTGCCACTTATCTCAGGCCTAACGTAAACAAGTTAAAGAGTCCCTAAAGCACTCGCACTTGACGCCACTTATATCATGCTCGACGTAACCAAGTTAGAGAACCTTAGAATCACTCACACCCGATGTCATTCATCTTGCACCTAGTACAAATGAGACAAAGAACTTTTGAATCACTCACATTCAACACCACTCCTCTTATGCTCGATGTAAATGATGCAAAAAGCATTTGAGTCATTCAATGCCTAATGTCACTCTTCTTTCACTTAACATAAATGAGAAAGAGAACCTCTAAATCATCCGCACGTTGGTGCCATGATGTTGTGTCCAAAGCAGAGGCGATTTCTGCACTTTTTAGGATCACAATTTAGGTCCTCCCAAATCTTCAATTACCCACAATTCATCATAAGATCTAAATTTCAACAAACCAAACCATTACAAACCATATAAACACCATATATAAACCAAATTTCTCAAAAAGAACATGCATCAATAAGATGATTCAAAAAATTATCACTTTCTCTTCAAAATGTCCAAAACAAAAAAGCCAACACATAAGAATTCACACTTCTCAATTCATTAACAAAATCAAGAATGTGCTAATCAAAACACAATTAACACATGTAATAGGTTTGGAAGAATGTGACTACTTTAAGTTATTACTAATATTAGTTGGTACAAGTAGTAACAACTTGTATCACTTAATCAAGATGTTCAGAATTTGAACATGATGTTAAATATAAAATAAACTATGTTAAAGAAAAATATCTATTTTATGTGCACTTGTGATTCTTGACAAAAATTAGACATTATACAATATATACTAATATTATGGTAAAAAAAAAACTTTAATTTTAAATAAAACCCTCTAATATTTTAGGCTACAGCCAGCTATGAACTTTTTCCGAAGTAGCATGGTTAGGAAAATGTGTTATTTTCTTTCAAAAATTATTTTAGAAGTTCCATATGTTGACATTATGAGTTTGTGACGTCGACCTTGACACGGACATCATTTTGGATTAATCAATAATATATCGTTGCTATTTATGGAAATACAAATTAATTTATATTTATATGATTGCAAGGAGTATTATTGTTTATTGAGGTTAATCTCTCTTGAAGATTCTAAAGGCACTGGTGTATTATCCCCTTCTAACTTTTCTCTCTCTCCATGCATGAGAATTAAAACTCCTCACCCACTTGCTTAAAAACAAATTTACACTCACTCAAACTAATCACTTTATATAAATTAATATATTTAAATTACTAACACGCCTTACGTAATTAAAATAACGTTATTTGTTTTCACAATTAATCGGTTGTTTTATAGTTTAAGTTTTTTGCTAAATAATTTCATTCCTGTTTTTTAAGAGGGGTGACAACCAATGGTAAATTAACAACATTAATTTGTACAATAAGTTATTTTTCTTTATGAATTTTCAGTCATTACTTTATCTTGATATTTAATTAAAAACATCATAATTTTTTTTTTGAAATATAGATAAAAAAAATATAAAATAAAAATAAAAGACATTAAAGAACTATAAAATCTATTTGTGTTGCAGTCACGGATGCACAGAAAAAAGTTGAATGTCTGAATCAGGAATCTTTTGAACAATCTAAAAGGGTTTGATAGCAATTAATGGTTTCACTGCAAAATCGGATTCGGAGGCGATCTTATTATTTATTCTCTTTTGTAAACCTATCATCATGTCATGCCTTTGAATCTGATGATGTGTCTTCTAACTTTAGCTTAGCCCATTCATTAAATTAATTACCCTAACACATCAACCTCCATTATCATACGTGGTTTTTTTACCCTCAACCTTCCATATTCTTTTTCTTCTATTTTTATAATATAACCATGTTTTACTTGCATCTCTCTACAAATTGAAATAATATATATAACATCTTATATTTAAATTCTATTATTATTATTATAGAAAATTCTATCCTTATTAATTGAGTAGATATCGGCACAGTTAGAATTCTAATTTCATTCTAAATTTGTTGCTTTTAATAATTTATTTATATAATATTTTTATATTTTTGAATTATATTTATATATCTTTTGGAATATTTTATCCTTCAATTTTCTTTCTAAATTATTTATTCATTCTATTTGTATTCTATATATGTATTTTTCTTTGTAATAGTATATGATTATACACTTAAAATAGTTTAGTTTTAATAATTTTTTAACATATTTTTATTTTTTTGCCTTAAATTTTTTTAAAACTTTTATAGTGTAAATTAATTTTTTTATTTCTATTATTTGTTAATTCTTTTAATTTTTTTTTATAGTAATATGATAATTTTAATCTCTATAATTTGGTCCTATTTTTTATTGTATAAATATAATCTAGATTTTTATTTTATAATTAAATTATTTTTTTCAAATTTTTTATTAGTTCACATATTAAAATGTATTAAAATTCCTCAATATATAAATCTTTGAAGTAAACGTATTAACTTTATATATTAAAAAATAGGTATTTTAAAAATCCATGAACATAAGTTATTAGTTTTAAAAGTTAAAGACTAATGGTGTGTTTGTTAATATATATAAAGAAGGATAAAAAATATATAGGTTCAAAAAATATTGAATGTATTCGATAAAAAAAAAGTTTGAGCTCCAAAAAAGAAAAAAACTTCCCTCCTAAGATGAAGAGGAGATAGTTTAACAGAGAACTTAGGATCTAGGTTCTGTTTATGTAACTGGTTATGTTCGTAAATATGTATTTATTTATTTAAAAATAATAAATAAAATTAGTTTATATTAAATAAACAAATATTTATAATAAAAATAACAATAATAATAATAAATAAATAAAATTTTTAATGATATAAATAATTTTATTTATTAATTTTAAAAATTAACTTCCACTCATTTCTTTTATACCAAACACACTTTATTTCTATTATAATTCTTATCTATTTCTCCAAGCTTCCATTCTCTTCTATTGTGTTTCTTTCATTTCTTTCCTCAATATCTTTAAACACAGTCTAAAGCTGAAGCTTGAAAATTTTTCAAGGACTTTAAAACACGTAAAACCTTAAAATAAAAAGCAACATCATTCAACTCAGATGTTCGGCTCCATTTTTGAGACCCGGTTACATGATAAAAAGGACTTCAACTGAAACTAGAACAATTGACCCCAAAAAGTTCAAACACGGTTTTAACTTCATTATTCTGTGATCATTCCATCGCATCATGTAAAAGATGGGGATTTCATTTTTCATTAATATAATTAAATATATATTATGACTTAAAGTTACTCGAATCAACACCACTCACTAATGGCACAAAAGAAACAAAAGGCAAATGAAATGATAGAAATCAATTAACTATATAGCTTCACAAGAAAGAAGCCACGGGAAAATGAAGATATCATGTTGCTGCTGCTACTTTGATTATAATTAAGAATGAAGAAATTGAAGATTTCTTACTTAGAAGAAGATCACATGAAATACCCACAATGAGTCATTGAAGGGTGCACATTTTTTTACTTTCACAATATAACTAACTATCTAGCAGCATAGTCCAATGCAATCACACAGAGGGGAAAAACTTGTTTAGATTGAAAGGTAGAGAGTAAAACTCCTCACTCCTTGTATCTGTCTTGAATGAACTGAATCTATCCCACCAATGCATGCCTGTGTCTTTACGAGTCTGGCTGTCCTTCTTGTACAATGTGGCATCCAAGAACAGAGCCAACGAACCAGCAACAAACGCTTTTGATGAGAATGCGACATTGATCATGTCGTTGAACTACCAAAAAGCGGAAATATAACTTGGTTAAGTACTTTAAAGTTTGTAATAACCATGCACAATTGAACACTCAATAAGAAAGAGAATGAGAGAAGCTATATAGTAGATACCCATCTAGCGTGGGTGTGCACTGGACCATAGTTCTTAAATGCTGTGTACTCATTGAAGTATTGTGGTATGGAGAAGCCCATGAAAATAGAGACTCCCAAGATGAATTTGGTTCTAAAGCTGTTTAAATTGCAAAACTGAAGGAAACTGAGGCCTGCAGAACCTATATTGCAGAAAAAAAAAAAAAAAAAAAAAAAAAAAAAAAGACAAATAATGATAATAATAACAAGGACTTACTGAAATTAAATTATGACAAAAAAAAAAACCATATCCCTCAGTTAATCATACAATACACATGCCCACATAGGCAAAGAAAAGGCAATATAAAGCTGCAACTATTGGTGCTGGGATTGAAGCAAACACAGCTCCAAATTTTCCTGCAGACACACATATATATAGCACTTTATAACCTGTACATTGGTTCACCAGGGAGAAGAATCTTATCAAAATTGCTAGCTTAATTACCAAGTATGGAGAAAAAGATCATGAATCCTGCTGATATTTGAACAACCCTTCGGCTACCAACTCTTGTCAAAGCTAAGAGTCCTGCGTTCTCTCTGGGACAAAGCCAAGAAGAATGCTTCTTATAATGATTCAGGTTTAATATATATCCTACTATGAAAACCCCCTAGCGCCCATCACATATAATTTTGAATAAGAATCTTACACAGAAACTGATGATCCATTCCCTGTCCCAAAGATGCCAGATAACAAAATTCCTACCCCCTGATACATAAGAAATAGAAAATAATGATGTTCACAAACATTAAGAAAAGAAGTATATGACAAACTAGGGAGTAGAGCAAGCAGAAAACCAACAAGGCACGATCATTTATACATGCTGACATTCATTTACCCATATATAAAATAATTTAAAATGTATAATGTTATAGATTAGATATTAGATAAAGAGAAGCAAACAAATTAGGTGGGTTTTTTTTTTTTTTTTTCAATTCATAAAGTTTACCTGCCAACCGACACCACGGCTCAGAACTGAAGGTGGCAATGGAGTTGCACTTGCATACCTTGAAACAGCAATAAAAGCACCTGTTGACTGTAGAAAATTGAAATGTATGTGAGAAACCAACAACCATTATGTAAGTATGCAACAAACTTCAGTAATGAGAGAAAGAAGTAGAGAAAGATCATGTACTCGCATGATTATATTACTTTGTTGACATTTGTCTACACCAACTTGATAAGTTTTAACAAATTTCTTATACTACATCATATGATCCGATTCAATCACATGTGAAGGATCATAGACGTATTTTCGAAGTTGAGAAATATGAAAAACATCATGAAGATTTGACAGATTAGGAGGCAAAGCAATTTGGTAGGCAACATTACCGACTCTTTTTAGAATTTGAAAAGGACCAATAAATCGAGGAGTAAGTTTTCTGGATTTTAATGCCCTGCCAACCCCAGTCCATGGAGTGACTTTAAGATAAAATTAAGTTTTTCCCCCTTCATTTTCCTCTTTATTTCTTATAAAAAATTGAAACGAACAACAAGAGTTTATAAACATAGCTTTTCTTTCTTTTATGTCTCACCTTACCAAACATTGTGTAAGATTTATTCTATAAATAGTAAATATGTTCCAATACTTTTACCAACCAAAGTTGGGTTTAGTGTAAAAAGGATTAATCTCTTGCAAGATGAGAAAACAAGGTTTGAATTTCTGTTAGAAGAGGTGACCACTAATTGTGTCTCAAAATGGATTGTTTTAAAAAAATATATTACATGTGTGAAAAAAACAAATTGCATGTTTGGACTTTGGAGTAATTTTCAATCGCCAGTCTTATAAATTATAACAACTTTTCAGTTTTTATTTTAATTTTTTCCAGTAGTTTAGACAATAAATTTATTTATAAAGTTTCAAAGTAAATTATAATCACTTTGTAGTTTTCAAATTTCCTTTTATTTTCTAATTTGTAATAATTATTTATTTATGCTTATGATTTAATTATTTATTTATTTTATTCTTATCCTATATAGAATTTTAGTAATATAAAATATTAAATAAAAATCACGCTTCTGATATTTAAAAATTAAATGATTACTATAAAAAAATTAATAAATGATTTTGTAACCGAAGAAACTAAAAATTTAATATAAAAATCAATACTTTGTATTGTATTTTATCTTTAAAAATTATCTTAGACATCACAATTTCTCTACACAGTCCTGAGAACATGCCATCATGAAACCAAAACTAAAACTCACATATTAATGAAGAAAGAACACAACAAATTAAAGAGGGTAAAAAAACTGAACCATGAAACTATCATGGGTTGTTGATGTATGGAAAATCTTAAACTTCAAATTTCTAACAGCAAGGAACTTGTTCTTTTGAGCACTTATAAAGCAGCATTGAAATTTCTCTTCAACCTTACTCTATTAATTTCTTTTCTTTAGTTTGGAATAGTGTGTCCTTCTACCCGCCCATCTTAATTAAAAACAAATATTTTCCTAAATACCGATGACATAATTTTTTTTTTTTTTTTATAAATGATGATATAAATCTATATACCTCAACTCTTCCAAACTCACACCTCAATTTCCATTCAAGCCTCTCATTACAATCCTAACCAAAACAACTCACATGCTACCTAAACCATAAATGGTTAACATGCCAGTACTAACACTCAAGGGAATTACCGTCATTTCAATCTCTCACCAAGGAGACAACCACCTTAGATTCAACCGCTACAACTATAGATGTCAGAAACTCCACCAATCGCAAACTCTTAGTACACTCGACAAATCAATGTATCACTCACATTTAAGGTTCTAATAGTTCTAGTTGGCTTGCACAAGGCTCCGCCCACTATTACCAGCACATGTGCTCGCAACACGAGCGATACTATTCAACCACTACTTCTTACATAAGTAAGAAGTATCAAAACCAATGAGTAATCATCAACTAAG